GTGAACATCCTAGGGAAAGAGGCAGGCTGAGGAGACAGGCAAAGGCTATCAGGAGCATGGGGAGTTGCTCTTGCTGATATGTGTACTTGAAGGTAGACATCCTAGTCCTCAAGCACCCCTTAGCAGTCTAAAGAGCAAAGTCTGCCTTAAAGATCCGTGGAAACAAAGGCAGTGCCCAGCAACCACAGAGACCGAGAGGGATGGACAGACAATAGCACACCACCATCCTGAAAGGGATTTTAAAACAGAAAGTAGATTTTGAAAACATCCGTTATTCGCTGAGTGGTTCCTATGTCCAGTCTTTGTTCTGAGGGTTTCACGGGGAGTAACATACTGAGTTCACAAAGTATTGCAAGATGGTCACTGTCACTGCAACTGCACAATGGTGGAGAAGTCCAGTGCAGGCAGAGGCAGGGTAGCCTTGGGCTAGATTAGAGAGTGTGGAAGGGGCAGAGTGGGAATCGAATCCTGACTTTCTGGTTGGTGGTTTACAGTGGAATAAGTGTGTGTCACTGAGCAGGGTTAGAACAGACCACCTGCACTGCAGCCAAGCCCAGCTAGTGCCAATGCTCACAGGAAAAGGGACCACCCAGTTCAGGGAGCTGGAAACCTGGTCATATTTAGACACAAAAATCACACATTTTTACACAAACAGGCAACAAAAAATAAAGTCAGGAAGGATGTGGAAAATAGGATTGGTCAATGTGTTTGGATTTGTGAACCATTTCATTCCTCAGGACAGACCTGTGCCTTCTTCCATTCCTATAGGATAAAAATCGATCACTTCAAGACCATGAGAAAATAACCAGTCGGTTATAACAGGACGGAAACTTCCAGGTGACAGTCTTGGCAAAGTGTTGTAAAAATGGAAGCCCTGGTAAATGGTGCAGTCACCTAGGGGGTGTCCTTGTTGTTTGGCAGTACTGGGGATTGAGCCCCTGTGTGTCTTTGGTAAGTGCCCCGTCACTGAGCTACATCCCCTGCTGACACTAAAGTTTTTTTTAAATACAAAGCAAACAAAGATGCCCCTTTCATCTTTTGTTAAATAGAATATTAAACTGTAATTAGTGTTACTTCCAGGAATCTAATCCCAGCAGCAAATTAAGCAGTCCTGTTCCTTTCTACTAATTTCCAAATTCCTTAAACTTGGTAGGAAAAATTTTTGAGGAAAGAAGAAGGAGAAGGAAAAGGAGGAGGAGAAGGAGAAGAAGAGGAAGAAGAGGAAGAGGAGGAGGAAGAGGAAGAAGGAGGAGGAAGAGGAAGGGGAGGAGGAAGAGGAAGGGGAGGAGGAGGAAGAGGAAGGGGAGGAGGAGGAAGAGGAAGGGGAGGAGGAAGAGGAAGGGGAGGAGGAAGAGGAAGAAGAGGAAGAGGAGGAGGAAGAGGAAGAAGGAGGAGGAAGAGGAAGGGGAGGAGGAAGAGGAAGGGGAGGAGGAAGAGGAAGGGGAGGAGGAAGAGGAAGGGGAGGAGGAAGAGGAAGGGGAGGAGGAAGAGGAAGGGGAGGAGGAAGAGGAAGGGGAGGAGGAAGGGGAGGAGGACGAGAAGGAAGAAGGAGAAGAAGAAGGAGAAGCAGCAGCAGCAGCAGCAGCAGCAGCAGCTGCCACAGCAGTACCGTAGAGCAGAATGAAGTGCCATCCATAGCCTTCCTGGCAGTTGAGGACAGGTGGTAGGGAAAGTTGTTGACTAAACTCATGGTGGGGAGGGAGGGGGAGACCAGAATGGCCTGACAAAATGGCTCATAATCTCTGAGTTTGAGGCCAGCCTGGTCTACATAGTAAGTTTCAGGCCAACCAGAGCTACATAGTGAAACTGTCTTGAAATAAAAACAGGGAGAAAAAAAATAAACTCTATCTCACAGATACCTGCATTTGGGTTTTTATTATGTTAAGGGGTCTTACAAATAAATTAGGAAAAGGGAAACACCTAGTAGGAAAGACAAAGCTCAAACATGAGCAATCAATAAAATAAGTCACATGTATAATAAGTGCATTAAAATGTGTTAAGTGGGAGTAGCCAGAAAAGTGGGAACAACTTGACATATCAAAGTGACCTAGAGAGAAAACAGTAGGCACAATCCCTAATAATGGTAGAAATGTAAACCAGCTCAAGTGTTCCCTGCCTCACTTGGAAATCAGTGTCATGAGCTCTAAAATATGAATCTCTTTGAATTTTCATGCACAGCAATGTATTTCAAGGAAATGACAAAGAATTTACAAAAAAAGAAAAGAAAAGAAAGGAAGGAAGGAAGGAAGGGAGAGAGAGAGAGAGAGAGAGAGAGAGAGAGAGAGAGAGAGAGAGAGAAGAAAGAAAGAGAGAAAGAGAGAAAGGAAAAGTTCATGACATGCTGCAGAGAAGTAAGGCGGCTCCTTACTTTTTCTTTCCCATTAGCTTCAAAATTAGGCAGTCCCTGGTAGATGCTGAAGGCGCTGCCCACCTGGGCACACGCAGGGCCTAACCTCTGGGCAAGCACAGGACACGATCCCCAACAGCCTTTAACTTTCAGAAAAGAAACCCTGTTTTAGCTTCTCCCGCACGTCCTCCCTCCCCCTCTTATCCACCTCCTAGTAGGTCCTTGGCAACCTCTCCGAGTCTCTAGAAAACAATACTTTGCAAAGAGAGAGCCTGGGGACCCTAAGGTCCAGCAGAGAAAAGCTGTTCCCCAAGAATAAAGAGTCCAGCGCTGCAGAGACCAAGAGCACCACGCACCTGGATGCCGGGCTGTCACTAGTCTCCCGGTTCCCTAAGGCGGCCAGGAATCACTGAAGGAGATGCTGGACCCTGCGGGGAGATGCCTTCCGGGTCCAGTTGGGAAGTCCCTGGCCGCGCCGCGTCAGGTTTCCAGAAAACAAAAACCGAAAGTGATCTCAGCACACAGAGCAGAAAGCCCGGCAGCGCCCAGGGCGCCACTTCTGCCGCTCCCCCCCTCCCCCCCGACGGGAGCCTGTTAGGCTCCCCAGCACGGTTAGTAGTTTGGGTTGCAGGGGCACTGCTCGGAATCCAGATCCTTCTGGAGTGGAGTGACAGGCGGGGGAGGCTAAGGAGCAGCACTGGAGAACAAGAGAAGGGGTTTCCACTGTCTCTTCAACCCGTCTCTATTTCCCTAGTGGCTTCGTTTTAATCTTTTTGGAGGACTGAAATGTTCTCAAACTGGATTCTGGTGAAGGTTATACTGAATAAATTTGCTAGAATTCTCAAAATAACAACAACAACAACACTAACCAGAGCTGACATGTTTGAAATGCCTAGAATTTATCCGGATAACTATGGGAAAAAAAATTGAAATAAAAGGCAAGCAAGTGAACCCACACCCCACCGCCCACCCCACTCCACCGCCACCACCACCAAATCACCTGCAGGTGAAGACTGGGAGGCAGGTGTTGCACAGTCCTTTAAAGATCCCTAATGAGCCTGAGAAGTCTTCAGTTGAGAGGTCTGTGTAACCCTGTCTAATATTTCCCAAATGTGTTGACCCACAAAGAATCCCCTCTCAGGACACCCATGAGGACTCAGTGGTTTTAGATTTGAACCAAGGCTAGCCCACACAGGAGAGAGCCCCTCTGCACTTTCTATGGAGGCACCACCATTCCAGCCAAGCAGTCAGAGCAGCAGGCTTGACCCAGACTGTCCCAGGGATGAGGACGAGAGAAAAGGGGAATAAGGCAAGTCCAAGTTAATACAGGGTGTACGCTCGAGCATGCCCGTGTGTCAGAAAAATACCCCACCCCAAGAACCCTTAAAGCAGGAGAAATGATTACATCAGACAGATGTAAATAAGGACAAAAGAGCTCATTCTATGCCAAACATACTCAAGAATACAGTAAAAATGGTAAAACCTCACCTGGTAATTCACACCAAGTGAGAGCCTATTAGGATTATCTATTTTAGCACAGTTTTATAGATATGTAAAATGCATTCATCTAAAGTGAATTTCACCAAATATAATCATACCACAATGAAGACACAAGCCATCCCTCCCCATCAAATCTCCCTGTTCTTGACAAAAAGCCTCTCCTGGACTCCAGCCCCGGGTAACCACAGATTGGCTGCTACACAGCTAAGTCTCACCCATGTGAAAACATCCTTTTTGGTGTGTGATTCCATTTGCTCTTCACTGTCCTCTCAGGACCTGTCACTGCAGGTCAGCAGTTTTCCTCTTTAGCGGAGGTCTGAGTCTTGGACTCTGCACAGGCCCTTGGCCCCGTCCACCTTGTCTTTGACGCCATGCTTTGCTTGTATTTCCAGTCTTATGTCTGTTGTTTGTTTGTTTGTTTTATTTTCGTTTTTACTCCTGTTTCTGTACCTTTCCACTTCAAACCAGTTTTTAATTTACAGAATGAGGGTTAGGTGTAAGTGAAAAGGATATGCAGAATAAATGTATGCACCCATCCTCCAGAACTGTACTGTCCTTGATGGGCTATGAACCCCTTCCTCATCCTACAAGCAATCTCTTGTTCTCAAGACCTCTGTGGAATTGCTGAAGCCCTTTGTTGTCTAGCTGTTAAGGGCACACTTGTTCAACCTGTTCTGCCTGGATTCTCTGCACTTGCCCTTGGTTGGAGGAGGCAGAGGAGAGGTTTTTTCTTGCTTCTGGCTACATTCAGAAGCTCCAAACACTTTATGAGGCCACCACACCTTCTGACTTTTCCTAGTCTGAGGCTCAAATATCAGGTCCAGCTCCCCTAGTTCTGGCTCACTAGGGTGCCAGGACAGCCACAGGTCTGAGAGACTGCAGACAACCCACTCTCCCTTGTCTTTCCAGGCACCCCAGCTAAGGGCAAAGGAGCCACTTCCTCCCCATACTCTGCAGCCACCTCGCCCCAGACAGCTCTGAGCCCTTAGCTGAAACAGGCTCTTCCACCTTTCCTTGGAGTGAACCAGGGGTCCCAGGTTTCTGGGGACTTGGGCTGTCTTTGCTCCTCCCTCTGGGGCAGTGGCTGGGTAGGAGGACAGTGTGGGTGGGGGATTCCGTGGCTGGGAACAGTGTGTGAGTGCAGCCACGTCACAGCTGAGCAATTTCACTTTCTTTTTCTTCCTCTTTGGAGGGCTCTGAAGAGTTCTCTCTGAACTTTCTAGAGGTTCAAAGGTGTCGTACTCCCCCTGAGCCAAGTTCAGGGCACCCTCGGGGCTGTGTAGGGGATGGCAGGAGGGGACAATGGATCCAGCAGCAGGTAAGTCCTTTCCCCTCTCCTTGTCCCGTGTCTCTGCTGAGATCAATGTTTATATGTGCTACTAGGACCGCCCGGGCCGGGCCCACAGTCCACAGACATGTGAGACAACGAGATCACAGGAAATTAAGAACTGGGATAAGCAGTTTTCACTACATCTCAGCTCTCCTCACTTCCTTTCCTTGCTCCTGTCCCATAGCTGGGCTGACTCTATGGACTTCCTGGGAGCTCCTGCTGGAGTGGCTGGTTCATTGGGACTCTCACCTCTCATCTCTTCCTAATTATCATTCCAAAAGACAAAGCTGAGCCTCAGCACTCAGAGGCAGATGAAGGCGGATCTCTGTGAGTTCCAGGACAGCCAAGACTGTTTCACAGAGAAATGCTGTCTCGAAAAACAAACAAACAAACAAACAAGAGGCAACTCTGTCTAAAAATGATCATTTATAAAAAGTTCAAACCTGATTTTGACTGTTGCCAAGCTTTTCTCAGTCTGCAACTGAGGACAGTTGAGCTCAGAGCCCACCTGTGTGGCTTAGTCAGTTCAGGAGTAAGAGGATTCCAAGGGAGGAAGTGAAAGGTGATGGAGACCAGTGACTGAGGGAAGCAGGTGGGGAGTGGGTGTTGTTTTTAACCTTTTTTTTAAATCTGTGCTGGTTACATAGTTGATTAGAAATGGATCGAAATTATCTTACACACACACACACACACACACACACACACACACACACACACACACACACACACTGCGGGGGGACTGGAGAGATGGCCCAGTGGTTAAGGATTCATACTGCTTTAATAGTGGGCATGGGTTGGGTCCCCAGAACCCACCCTGGGGCTTCCAACGGCCTCTGGCTTCAACTCCAGGAGATCAGATATCCCCTTATGTCCTCCATAGGCACTGCACTTACGTGCAGGAAACACACCCCGAGACAGACGCATATATACATAATTAAAAAGGAAAATAGAACAAATAAGACATAAGTGTATGGAGCTAATCATCCTCTAACAGAGACTTAGTCAATGCTACTTCTGGTCCTGCAGAAGTCCTGAGAAAGCATCGTTTCTCCAGTGAAATTTGGTCAAATCTGCTTGTGATACCAACAACTTGCTGTCTTGTTTGGGAGTGGGGTGGTATTAATGACTGGCTCCATTTCTCTAACACAAGCCTGTCAGGCGATCTGTCTCTCAGAGCATGAGTTTTGGTAGTTTCTGTTTTTTAAGACATTTGGTCATTTTTGTTGTTATTGTTGTTGTTATCAAATCTGCAGATATAGGGATGGCTGCTCTATTTAGTCTTTGCTGTCCTTTCATGTCCGAGGAATTTACAGCTTGTGTCTTTTTGTTTGTTTGTCTTTTCCTTGTTAGATTGACTGGAGATATAGTTTAAAAAAAAGATAAAGATAATAACTTTATTGATTAAAGGAGTGGTTTTTGGTGTGATATATAATCATACCGCTTTGGTGTAAGTATAATGCTAACTTACTTTAATTTTATGGATTTCTACTTGAATTTTTATGGTATCTTTTGTTTTCACTGGGATGAAATTGCTTTCCTTATTTTTCCTAGTTCTTCAGAAGATTTTCATATGGACCCCGCTCAGCTTCTGATCTACACATTTAGTACTGTTCATTTCCCCTAGGCCTTTGTTGTGTCTCAGCCATAGTTGTTTTGTTTTTAACTTCAGGGCTTTAGATGCAGGAGAAAGGGCCACATTTTTACCTGTCTACACCCACAGTTTTTGTCTGTTTGTTTGTTTTTTAATTGTGTTCATTTATTGTATGTGTGCAAGTGCCGCAGTGTGTATGTTGAGGTCAGAGGACAACGTGTGGGACTTGTCAACCAGTTCCCTCCCTCAAACTCAGGTCCTCCTTTAGACTCCAGGCCGGGCCTTATCTACTGAGCCATTTCACTAGCTCCCAAGTGGCTCTCTTTTATTTACAATATTAGTTGCTGTTTTCAAGTGTATTCTGTTTTAATTGTCACATACAGACTGTTCACATTTAGACTGATTATGAATACAGGGCCACGGCTACCATGTTTGTAAACACTTTTATTTTCCTTTTTTTGGCCTTCCTTTCTTTTTACGTCTTTTGGTTTTAGTCAACAAGCATTTTATGATTCTTTTTTTTTTTTACTTCCTTCATTACTTTTTTTTTAACCTTGTTTTCTTTTCTTTTCTTTCTTTCTTTTTTTTTTTGCAGTACTAGAGATTGATTCTGGGGATCTTCTGGGGAATGATTTTTGAAGAAACTTTTACATCTGTGTCTCTTGTTCTTGCTAAACAATGTGGGTTTCCCCCCGCCCCACTGCTCATTATTTTGTGGCATTTGTAGGCACTCTTGGGTTTCTGATGAATTTGCTGCATGTCTCTAGTTGGGTCGCAGCATCAAGTATGAGACTGAACTGTTTAAATTATTTCTGTGAAATAATTCAGCTCTAACTCCAGTTTTCACTCCAGTTCATGTATGAGGAGCTGAGCTCAGATCTCTAGAACCCACTTAAAGCTGGATGCACTGGTGTGTGTATTTTTAACTCCAGAGTTAGCGGAACGGACACAGTTGGATCCCTGGAGCTCACTGGCCAGCTAATCTGGCTGAATGAATGATATTCAGGTTCAGTGAGAGACATTGTCTCAAAAAAGAAGGTGAGAGTGACTGGTTCCCTCACACCAGGCACATGCACATGAACACATCCACACATTCACACACACACACACACACACACACACACACACACACACACACACACACACAGACCTCCTTAAGTTTAAGATAAAAATTATTGTATAGTTTTGTTATATTATTACATGTTGAATATAGGTTCTTTTTGAAACAATACTTCTCAAGATTTTTGGTATCAAATAACTTTGATACCTTTGTTTTGTTTGTTGTATAGCTCTGACTAGCCTGGAATTCACTATGTAGACCAGGCTGGCCTTGAATTCATGATGATCTTTCTGCCTCTGCCTCCGAAGTGCTGGAATTAAAGGTGTGCGTAATCACATACCCCCACCCCCCTTTTCTTCCCTTAAAACTTATGGAGAACCTCCAAAGCTAGCTTTTTGGGTTAAATCTAATGAGATTTACCATTAATTATAAATTAACACTTCAGACATTTAGAATATTTGTCACAAGTAACATATTTTTATGGAAAGTATTTTCTAAAATGAAAATAAAGGTGAGGATGTAATCTTGCTTTACCTTCTTGCAAATGCCTTTACTCTCCTGCTCAGACAGAGTCACCAGACTGCCCTGTTTACCTCTGTGTTCCATCTGCTGTGATGGCCCAGCCCAGGGAGCCTCAGAGAATTCCACTGAACACTTTTGGGAAGAGGAGAGAGATAAGGGGCACATGGTATCTCAGTATTAGTCTGAGAATAGTTCGTCCTCAGAGACATCTGAAAAAGCCCTGAGCAATGTCAGGGTTCCTCAGACTATACCCTGAGAGTCTCCATTCTCAATTATTTAGCATTTAGGTGGCATTTTAAATGCTCAAAAAAAAAAAAAAAAAAAAAAAAAAAAAAAAAAAAAAAAAGCTGTACCCTCAGTGACAGCACCAGCTGATGTGCCTGTGTGGATGCAGTACGTCACAAGGCTCCACCTCCAGATGAAGAGTCATAGGCAATTAATGGCTGCTGAGAAACGGAGAATCAGTCAGTATTCTCCAGGGATAACTGGATAACAGAGTTAGGTTATCCAGTCCCTAATGCTTAGCCCTACCCACATATGCATAAGAGCAACACTAAATGAACTCAGCAGATTCTATCTATCTGTCTGTCTATCTATCTATCTATCTGTCATATCTATCTATCTGTCTGTCTGTCATATCTATCTATCTGTCATATCTATCTATCTGTCTGTCCTATCTATCTATCTATCTATCTATCTATCTATCTATCTGTCTGTCTGTCTGTCTGTCTGTCTATCTATCTATCTATCTATCTATCTATCTATCTATCTATCTGTCATATCTATCTACCTATCTGTCATCTCTCTATCTCTATCTCTATTTCTGTATTTGTATAAATATACGTGTAATAATAATTAAAGAAGGTATTTGAGGGGGCGTGGGGAAGGAAAGCATGGGGGGACTTGAGAGGAAAAGAGAGGAGTAGAAATGAGGTAAATATAATATTCATGTATGAAATTTTCAAAAAAATTATAAAATTTTAAAGTAAGCAAAAGGCAAAAAGAAAGATGTGCTCTATTTTAATTTTTTTAGTTTTATTTTTAATTAATTATTTAGGTTAGCATACAAAATAACGGTCTCATCGTGGCATCTTCACACATATGTATCCCGTTTTTACTCACCCCTCCCCCACTAGCAGGAGCTGTCTCTCTCCTACCCTGTGGGTTTCTGAACTCAGGTCATTATACTCGAGGGCAAGCACTGTTACCCTCTGACCCTTCTCACCAGCCATCCTGCATTTATTTTGTGGTAGAAATTTGCTGGTATTGATCTTTTTTTTTTTTCCCATTATTTGAGACAGGGTCTTTTTATATAGCCCAGGCCAGTCTTGAAATCACTAGGTAAGTGCCTCAGTGGGTAAAGGAGCTTCCCAGGCAGGCCAGGCAACCTAAGTTTGATACCCAGAACTCATGAAAGAGTGAAAAGAGAGAACCAACTTCCACAGTGTTGTCCTCTGACAGCTACATGTGCTAATACTATAACAGTACTAAGTAAAATTAAAGAGAAAGTAAATCGCTATGTAGGCCATGATGGTCCTCCTGCTTCAGCTTCAGGGTGCCGTGACTCCAGGCACTTGGACTACGTCCAGCCCTCTTGCTTCTGTCATTGTACTGTACATCATAATTTGTTTCCATTTGCCCACCAGAATGGAGTCGACAACATGAACAAACAACTCCCATGTCTCACTGGGCTTCTGGGCCTTCCTTCCCTAGAGGATCCTCTCCCTGGACTCTGTCTCTGGCAGGGAGCAGCTGCCACCTGAGATGTCAGGCACGGTAGCAGAGGACAGCACGGTTAATAAGTGCTGGTTCTGAGCGGCTAGAGAGCCCCCCATCACTGCAAGGAGGTGGGGAACAAGGAGGAGAGAAGAAAGCATGTGGAGCAATGGAAGATAAGCCACAGAGCGTGTGTGCAGGCAGAATGTTTTCTCAGTCCTGGATCAACTCCTTATCAGTTTTTTCACACATCAACTGGAAGCAGAGGGTGTGCGGTTGTTTTTGTTTACTATTGTTGTTTTGACATTTCCTTTGACCCAGTAGTCTAGAGGTTGTCTTCCAGGTTTATTTCTGTTGCTGCGATAACATACCTGACATAAAGCATCTTGGGGGAGAAGAACTCATTAGCTCCCGGGTCTGGGTGACAGTCCATCATTGCAGGGAAGTCTAGGCAGGAACTTGAAGCAGCTGGTCATATCCACAGTCAAGAGCAGAGGGACATGAATGCAAGTATGCCTGTCAGTGCTCAACTTGTTCCCTACACTTAATGCTTTCAGGATCCCCTACCTAGGAATTGGTGCTGCCCACAGTGGGCTGGATCTTCCCTTATCAATTAGCATAATGAAGACAACCCTGGATAGACATACCCATAGACCACCTTAATCTAGACAATCCTTTCTTTATTAAGGCTCATACAATCCTAGATGATTTTAGAATGTGTCAGGTTGACAATTAAAACTGATCATCATGTTGGGCCTGGTGGAGTATGATTTGAATCCCAGCACCCAGGAGTCAGAGACAGGTGAATCTCAAAGGCTAGCTAGCCTGGTCTACATAGCAAGTTCCAGGCAAGTCAGATTACAGGTGATACCCTATCTCAAACAAACAAAACCCGAAGTGTCACAAATTGCATCACTATTTTAGACGTTTAAAGTTTCAATTTTTACTTCAAATTTTTTCTTTTAGTGGACCATCCTTCATGCCAGAAATTATCCAGCCATTGGTAGCCTCTTGTAAACCAGTTTCTACTTCTCCCTGGAATCTATCCCTTAGGGCAACCACAGAAGACCAGAGCAAAGAGGAGTCGGCCGAATATCAGCGCATGTTCAAGCACTTCAAAGAAAATAAGGTAGAAATCGCAAGCGCCATCACAAAGCCGTTTCCTTTCCTTATGAGCCTCCGAGACCGCGGCTTCATCTCTGAGCAGAAGTTTCGGGTAAGTGAGGAGAATGAACTCAGCCCTGACAGTAAGCCTGCCCCGCTGCATTATGCTGAACCTCTGGGTGCAGCCAACAGGCTGAAGGGCCTCCAGGGAGGAGGGACCTTCACTTCTTGGAAGTCAAAGGTGAGAGGAGAAGCGGACATCACAGGAAACATTCATATCCATCTCTGCTGTAACCGGGGCTGAGGCACATGGTGACAGCGGAGGGTATAGGAAGTGGGAATGCACTAAAGGGCGAGGCACCTCAGGTTTCCTTGTGCAATGTGACAAAAGAAACTAGAACGTGAGTGGACACGTCCAAGCAGTGCTTCCTCACAAAGCCTACTTATTCCAAATCCCGGAGCCTGCGAGTTTTGAAAGTCACAGGCAATTGGGTTGTGTGAGAATAGAACCAGAAATCATGCTCACTTCTGTCTGTCCAAATTGTTCCTGTTCTTCAGGCACCACTAAGGCCCTAGAATGTAGTAAAGGATGGTGATGGGGTCCCCTGGGGATAAGGAAGACAAGTCCTCTCTCCTTTGTGCGTTGTCTTTGCCCTGTGGCCAGGATGCTCACTTTGTTGCCTTGAGCCCTGCAGACCAGGTCAGTCTCCAGGAGTTACTGTCTGGTCTCCAGACAGCCTCTCATGGCCTGTTAGGGCAACAGTGGAGCATCTTGGCCTGGCTCTTACAGACACACCATCGTTCTTCAGAACTACTCTTTCCTGTCAACTGTGTGTCAGCATCAGAGTTGCTCTGGATAAGCAAGGGTCTGTTATTACAGGGAGGACATGTAAAATGTCACCTGATGTATGTAAAACTCAGACACTTCACAGGAAATCAAATGGTGTTTGAACCAGTCTAAGCCTCTCTTGTAATTCATAAATTCATTCTGACATAATTCTTCATTCAATATTTTTAAGGATTCTCAAGAAAGGTGTCAAAACCTGGTCCCGGTGGGCATAGTGGTGTATGACATCCTTAGTGACCTACAGAACAAGTTTAGCCTGTCGCTTCTGGCAGTGATATTCAGCAAAGTGCATCTGAAGGCCTACCCAGACTTAGAGGAGACTCGGAGAAGCTTCCTAGACGGTAACTACAGCTCTCACCTGCTTCAGGGAATTCAAGACAATTTCATTCACTCATTCACTCACTCATCCATTTTTTTTTCATTGACAGTTGACGTATAGTTTACTGAGGGACTATGGCATGCCAAGCACAGGGGGAATGTAGGAAACACACGTGGCCCATGTAGTCAGGAGCTTACACATGGGCCAAGTAACAGAGTTTCTTGCTGTAAAACACACTATGAATGGTGAGTTTCCTTAGAAAGGAGTGGTTTCTCTGATACTTGCAGACATATCCAACAATAAAAATATGTTCCTTGTATCAGAAAATGTATCATTTGGTAGAGTCCTACATCAACTTCCTTCTTTGAAGAATAGAGAAATCACAAGGGAAGCCCAGCTTGGGCCCAGGCACCAGAGAGGGCAGCGCGTGTCAACTTAGAGTGTGAAAAGAGGGTGGACTTTTAGAACCAAGGGGCTGGCGTGTTACATGAATGTGAAGTCATCAGGTGGGCAGAGAGCAGCCTCTGTAGCTCCCACTGGTCCCCTGTGGCCTCACCTTTCCAGCTCCCCTTCCTCTAAAGGACTTTCCTTTCCAGAAGGTGCATCCGCATCAGACTGACTGTGAAGGATGTTTCTATGTTTCTTGGGTTTCTTGTCCTTTTCCCCTCATGATCCCTGGGTCAGGTCTCTCCGTCTGTATCACTTGGTCACCTTGAAATGCAGCTCTGAAGGTCTGGAGTTGGTGTTTCACTCCTCACTTGCCACCTGAGGGTCACTGGCAGCCACTTCCTATGCTCGCTTTCAGAAAGCAGGTTTTCATTTCACCCTGCCCATCCTGCCTAGGGGAGCGCTGCTTCCTCTTCAGGACAGTACTCTATAACCAGAATGTCTTCCCTGACTCAATTCAAGCAAGTCTCTCTATTTCTCTATTTCTCTCTCTCCCTACATTCCTCCCTTTTTCTTCTTTCCTGCATCATTGAAAGATGTTGGCTTTTCCCCCTCCCTCCTTCTCTTCATTCCTCCCTCCTTCCCTCCCTCCATCCTGTCTCTCTAAAATTGTCTTTCTCCTCCAGAACCCTCTGCTCTTCTGTCATTTCCTGCCTTTGCTCTAATCTGAAATTGGCTTTCACTGTCCTCTGACAATTTTGAAGAGATACAAGCCATGATTGCTACCTCCTGACTGCCTGTCTGTCTCTAACTTTACAGGATACCGGAAGGGCTAGCAGGTTGCACAGAAACCCGAGTCCATTGTGCACCTGGATGTGTAACTGTGAGATGTAGCTCGATTCACAATTGAGATTCCTGATTGCTTTCCCCCCCTTCTCACTGGTTCATGTCTACTTCTATTACCTACTTTGCAAGGAAACAGCAACCCAGCCGAGGTTCAGCACCCACTCAAGCCTTGAGCAGGCTGGTTATAGCTTGCCAGAATCTTGTTTTTACATTGAGTGGTTATTCAAGGTGTTTCTGCAGATCAATTCATTTATTTTCACAAGCTTACAAGTTAAGAGGGACAAATTCTGCTTCATTCCATTTTATATGTAAAGTAGATGCATAGATGTATGTAACTTTGTCAGACCAAAGTCAAGCAGGAGCAAAGGACTAGCATCCCTCAGGACACACTGTGGTGATGTTGTGTGAGACTGGCAGAAGTTCTGGGTGGCCAGGATCACTGAACAGAGTTCTCATGGGAGAACTTGGGGACCTGAGGAGTGTACCAAACCTGATACAAAGGAAAAACACACAGAGAATTGGAGGCTGTCTCATGGAGATAAGCACTCTAGAGCCAAAGGAAGTTCAGAGATGCAGTAGGTTGTGCTAAAGAGCATTGAGTAAACAAAGAAGAAAAGGACTGAGGCATGTGCAATGCTTTGAATTGTAGAGGAACAGCATTGGGGACCAAAAGATGAGAAGAAAGTAATAGGGGTGAGCAGAGAGAAAAGAGACAGAGCAAGGCTCTGGGTGGGTGGGGGTGAGTGTCTCAGACGAAGTGAAGTACTGAGCGCCAGAACTCAGAAAGAGTGCTTGGAGGTTTTTGTGTCATCACATCTGATTGGTCATTATCATGTTTCTCTTCAGTTTCCAACAGTCACAGAACTCCTCAGAGGATGAATGGAAGAGATGTTGAAGAGAGGCCCAGACTGCCAGGACATGTTAGGGAAGGTGACTATGTTTTTAGATTACAAATTATCTCACTGATACTGTTTTCTTGTCTTTACCCTTCTCTCCTCACCATTCCCAAGAGGTACACACACACACACACACACACACACACACACACACACACACACACACACCTCCACACACACACACACACACACACACACACACGCACACACCCCTCCACGCACACACGCTTGTGTTCAGCTTGTGGTCGCTGTCCCCAGTGGGAGACAAAAAGGGAAGAAGGCGAGTCCTTAACAGATGCGCTCCTGGGTAATGAAAGAGTACAAAGTCATAAAAATGAAGAGTAGCAGCAGGGTTGGGAGATTCCTAAGCAGACTTGAGTTTATCGAAATCAATCTGGTTTTATATATAGTCATGTGTCACTTAACAATGGTGATGAATTTCTGAGAAATGTGCCATAAGGTGAGTTCTTTATTGCATTGACACTGTAGATCCCAGCGATCAAGTCACTGGTCATATCAGCCTATGTGATGTCTGTCTTATAATGTGGTCCGTCCTGGACTAAAATATTATCGTGTGTCACATGAATGCAGTCTCAGGATGGAGTTTGATAAGAAAGGGGAAAATTTAAACATACTTGCTAGAGATCATATAGGAACAATGAAATGGGGCATTAGGAGAAATGTAATGGAAGTGGATATAAAAATAAATAGATGATTGGAGAAGAGGTAAAACCTTGTATATAGAGAAAAAGATAGAAATGGAAAGATATGGCAACAATTAACAAGAGAAAGTCCTATCAATAAGCTCCATAAATAGATGCACGATGTAGATGTAGAGACAGCAATGTGGGAAGGTAGTGTTGGAGACGGGGCCAGGCGAGCTGATCTAAGAGGTTGGCAAATCTTGGAGGTGCAAACATGCTCACTCTTAGACAGCGACTTGATACTCTGTCAGAGTCCAACCTATTCACATCAGGTATGTATTCAGGCCATTACCAACTGTCATTCATGTTTTTTTTTTCTCTCTTCAATGACCTAGGAACCTTCTTTCCAAATGGTTGCAGGAGGAATATCAGAAGTACAGAAGGTGATACAGATTTCAATGACCTATTCTCTAAGTAGCTTTATTTCCGTCATCACAGAGAAGAACCTCCATTACTTTTACTCCCTTTCTTGTTCACCAATCCATCATCCATGAATCCACTCACTCATGTACAACCATCTAGCTATTCATCTACTGCCAGTCTATGCATCTATCCATTCATTCATCCATTCACTCACCCACATACCAATACAGTCATCCACCTGACAATAGATCTACCCATCTATCCACCTATCTATCCATTTATCCATCCTTTCAACCATCCATTCTTTTCTTCTCTCCCACCCCTCCTCACAGATGGCCAAATGTTCAATTTTTGAATTTTTTTCAGGAGACACAAGCAGTATAGAAATCTAAATTCAGGCTGGTTGAGATTTTCTTGAGTACAGACCATCCACCAAGAGAGGGAAGTTGAGAACCCTAGATGGAGCCATCAAAACTGGAGCTCTGAGTGATTGCCAGTTTTACCTAAATAGATATGGAATCCTAATATCACCCTTTGGGGGTACACTGCTGAGGGGGACTGATCACCTTAACCTACTTTTCCCTTAGTTAAGCTAGTATGCACATAAGAGTACAATTGAAATTGAGAAAACTCTGGAGAAGATTTTTGAAGAGGACTTGGCAAGGGAATCTCCTCCTTTGTCCACAGTGAACAAAGCCTTTTGATGACATAAAAGGACAATGAAACAATGTACAGGAATGGCAGAAATGGGATGTTTAGATTAAAATTTGAGTTGCAAAAATCAGAAACAGCAAGCTAACTAAAGAGAACAGACTGGGCTAGAGAAATGAGAGCAGTGAGGGGAAAGAGCTAATCTCAATCATGAAACAAGGTGCAGAGTTTAAAATGTGGAGAAAATTCTGTAAAGGGGAGATGCTACTAGACAGTATATGAGACTCATCAGCCCTACACACAGAGAAAAGATAAAGAAGAATGAATTAAAAAGCAAGCTTGTTGCCAAGCTTGATGATCTGAGTTCGATCCTCGGGACTCACATGAAGGAAGGAGAGAGCTGATTCCTGTAAGTTGTCTTTGTGACCTCCGTGTATGTGTCATGGTATGTGAGACACTCTCCCATCCCCAAATAAACACAATAACAACAACAACAATAGTAATAACAATAAAATTGTTGAGAAAAAAACTGAGAGCAAAAAAAATTGTCTTCAGAGAAGAGAGAAAACAGATTGAGACATTGAAGGGACTGAGTTACTAGCCAAAACTAACTTCTGGCCTAAAGTGAATGCATTGGCTGTGAGTTTTCAGATTGTGATGTCCCCAACTTTTAAAGTGGTATTGGAAAACATACCAGGGCAATCAGTTTCTCCCAGGCATTCTTATCTGCTCCGTCTATAAGTTAATGATCCCCAAACTCAAAGCCCCAGACTTGCCTGTCAGCTTCCTCATCTGCAGGCCTGAATATCTTCATATAGCTCTCTCAGAGACTCCTTTATCCAGATGTTTTTCAAGACCTTCAGTGTGAGACACTTGCAAAGGTGCACATGATATCTGTAATGACAGTGGGCCTGCCTCCTCTGCTGGTGTCTCTGTTTCAGCGTGGGGCGCTATTTCTCCATCCTCAAGCAGGGTTGTTAATGACAATGTAAACCAGTCTTCCAGTCTTCCCCTGAGCCCTGTCCATTTTTTTCTTTCCCACCAGAAATATCAAATCAAATCTTTCTCTTATTTTAATTTATATGTATGAGTGTTTTGCCTTCATCTAACTTCTATCTATCTATCTATCTATCTATCTATCTATCTATCTATCTATCTATCTATCTATCTATCTATCTTTCTATCTATACCACATACTTGATTGTTGTCCAAAGAGGTCAGAAGGTGTCAAATCCCTTGGATCTGAAATGGCAGATAGTTGTGAGCTTCCATGTGGTACTGGGAATTGAACCTGAGTCTCCTGGAAGAGCAGCAGGCACTCTTAACCACTGAGCCATCTTTCCAGTGCCCCCCAACACACCTCAGATCTTTTGTTTTTACCTTAGGACTACAGAAACGGCTCTTAGTCTCAGATGCCTTTTCTCATTCAGTCTTGTTCCATCAAACTCATTTTCTCCAATACAACAAGACATTCAGACATGCACTTGGCATCCCTTACTCTCCTCTTTAGAGTTTAGAGACAACTTCCTGCTGTCATAAGGATTGAGTTCATTTTCCTCCCTAAAGTTTCCAATGCCCTATCTGCCTCTCTTGGTCTTCAAGAGAATAGTTTGTCTAAAACTTTCGTAGTTACTTTGATTTCCTGGTTCATCTGGGATCCTTTGCCTTTTGTGGGAAAGAGTGAGAAATACTTGTGACTCCTGTTTGGAATAACCTGATTCTTATGGGTAGAATATGTGGATTCTTTATTCATGTTGAAGTAGTAATTATTGGGGAAAGACAGTGCCTTGCTCTTCCCACTATTTGTGTTACACGGCCCATGTTGTCATTTTATTGCCTTGTACTCCTTATTTTCTTATATTCCCCAAACTTCCTGGTTCTGCCTGAGCAAACTGAGGTCCCTCTGTATGGTTTGTTGTATCCTCGTTTCTCTTCAGCATCCTGTAGTCCTGGAAATTCCCAAATGAATGATGAGCAGGGAGAGGAGGTGCCTAGCCTCCCACAATGCAACGGAGGAGGTGAGTGAGCCTTCATTTGCCAGTCAGCTAGTGAATCTGTGAGAGAGAAAGTGCTCCCCTGAGCCTGTTCTTTACAGTCTCAGAGAGAAGAAATCATAGAGGCAGCAGCAAGGGTCAGAAACAAAGGGGAATGAGATGCTCAGAGAGGGAACAGATAGGTGGCCAATCTTCTGCCTCTGGCGACAGAGAAGGAGTCATGTCAGCTTCCACTTCAGAGTCCCCAAACAGAGACATTCATTCTAGGAGACACCAAGCCAGCTAGCCCTTCCTGGTTGTTTCAGATGATTTTCCTGCTGTGATTTCCCTTGGCCATCTGGGTCTGCTGAGTCTCATTCTTTTCTACAGAAGGAAGTAGTTCTTGTGAACAAATGTTTGATGGACAAGAGCCCCAGGATGACTTACCCCCATCATCACTGAGACCTGAAGCAGGTGAGCAAGGTTCCTTGTGCCTGTAGCACTGAGATCATGGCTTTGGTATTGGTTGTTGCCATGGGTCTGTCAGCTCCCCAGATCTACTGACATTCTCAGACAGGAGTCACCCTCCATCTTGAAGGGAGCAGGAGGCTCTGGAGCCTTCTTCACGCTTCCAGTCTCTGATTTCCTGTTTTGCTGCCAGCTGGAAAAAGCTTCTCTGCTTGTAAAGGGTTCATTTGGTTAGACCAGGCCTAACCTGAGGCCTGCTCTCTCTTAAGGCCAGCTCTGCCACATGACCTAAGCTAAGCACAGGAGTAACATCTCATCATGTTCATAGTTTACACAATTATAGAAGAAGCTCTTAGAGAACCATCTCGGAATTCTTCTTACCACCAGAGAGCTCAAAGCATCCCATAGAAAATTAATATCTGGATAACTCATTGATCTTCTCAAGCAACATTACAGGGGCCAACAAACAAAAGTAGACCATGAATGGACTAAGACATGAACGAGCCTTTAGGAGAGACAGAGAGACTACCGTGATTAAGCAAGGCACTTTGGGAAGGGATGAGGGCCTGCATCACACCTAGTCAGGGGCTGAGGACTCAGACCAATTGTACAGAGACATGCGCAGGCGAACCTTTCAGGACCTCTGAAAGACGTCTCTGTTCACTTAACCTGGAGTTCCTTTGTGGAAAGATCTCAACCTCAAGGTTGAGGGGTTTTGTCAAAGAAAGCAATGTTTCCCAGAGAATGGTCTGGACTGACAGTTACTGGTGGGGACATGGGAACACTGGAGACTGCCTCTCTTGTTTTATAGAGCTACTTGACACACATGTGAAGTCCCCCCATTGTGAGGTGGAATCATTAGTGAAACCGTGCCATTTATAAGGGGCAAGAGGTAGAGTCATTATGAGAGTACAAGAAGGAAGTGCAAGTTCTGTCGTGGTGGATTGTGGCTTTGAGAAAATAACCCCATGATTAATGGAAAGAGGATGCTGGGTTATAGCGGTAAACTGTGTGTTGTCATGTGTGGAATACTGATGTTCTTGAGAGAAACGGAGGCTAAAAAGAAACATGTGATTGATAACATGACAGTAGTTGACTCAAAATTGCATACACAGTGAGAAAAATGACTTATTTCCCAGATACCATGTGTCTTTGTGAATGTCCCAAGACAGAGTAGGACCAAGAATCTTTGCACAGTTTGGCTACCCCTGGTGGATCCTTTATTAGCTTTTGAGAGCAACTTGGCTTGAGGACTTGTTAGACCTTTTTCTCCATCTATCTTATTGGAGGGAGGGGTCATTATCTTCCAATATTCAGAAAGAATGGGAGAATCAGGAATAGACACAAGAAAAAAAGACATTTTAAAAGTTGATGAAGCAAGAATAAACACAGAGAGAGTATTTTGCTAAATGCTGCACCTACAAATAAAGTTGTAATTTCTTTACATCGAATTGCATACATATCTTTAATTAACATAACTCAGAAAAAAGAACACAATGAAACAAGTTGCTGTTGAGACTGAGTCACTTGGCAGTGGTTCAGGAACACTATCTGAGTTGTGTACAAGAAGTCTAGAATTCACACCCACAGGGCACTCCCAGCAGGTCTTCAGATGATCTTGGTGGGAACACTGTACTTAGTGATCATCACTCCCATGTCTGAAGCTGAAAGCTTGCTAAGTGAAGGCCATGGTGGGACTGGGAGACACTGTGTGCAAAGCTTGTGGCCACAGCTCATTTCACCCAGAGCTTTGAGAAGCAGGTAGTTCAGGGGCTATAGACTTTGCAAAGCAGAATTGCTTAGCACGGGCAGCTATGGGACCATCACCCAAGCATTTGGAGGATGGCTGCTGCTGATTGGCTAAATTTCAAATTTGTATTGCTGCCTCTGATTGGCTAGACTTCAGAAGCATGGTTAATGATTAGGTAGCATTGGCTAATTTGGGGTGGGTTTGAAACTGGTAAAACTAGCAAAAGTTATCCTTTACTATTTTCAAAGAACAGTTTTATTCTTCATCATAGAAGATAAGAACTTTAAAATTTTACTTATAGCTACATGTAGCAAATTAAAGGTGGAAAAATGGAAAATAAAGTACATGGTGGAAAGAATAGCTCCATTGGATCCTAGGTGTGATTGCTAGAGCAAGTTTTGCTTGTTTCTTAGTTGTTATTGTTTTTTGTTTGTTTCCCCAGAAAATATCTCCTCTTTTGTTTCTTCCTTCAGAATCTAGCTTTCTGTGTAGTCAGACAACAGTGGGGATCTTAGTTGTCTGTCTCAGGATCCTCGGACAGCAATTTTTTGGTTAGGATTACTATCCAGAGCACTAGATCACCAAGTGAATAATGAAAGAGGTCAGGAGAGCTTGCTTCTAACCTGCTGTCCCATGAGAGACATGGTGACCATGCCCTAAAATCATCACACAGATGCAGTTCTGACAAGGGGGGCGAGACAGGGGAGGAAAAAATAAAAAAGAGGAACTGAAGGTCAGACAAAGGGAGAATGTAAAAATATTTCAGAGGAATAAGAAAAGGGGGTAGATTAATAAAGATATAAAAAGATCATTTGTCAGGTGCTTAAGATCACAATAGAAGTCCACAGTTCAAGGCTAGCTTGGGCTAGAGTGAGTTCAAAGTCATCCAGGAAAATTAGTTAGCACCATGTCAAAAAAAGGAAGCAAAAAGGACATGTGAGGGTGTAGTCCAGTGGTAGACTGTTTGCCTAGAACAAGTGAGGACAAGTTTGATCCCCAGTATTGCTAAATTAAATAACGAACCAACACCCACAATGTTGGCCCAGGAGCAGAACAATCCACAAGTGGAAATGAGGCCTGTTCCTGTGTCATGTGTTCCCCAGCATACATTCAAGAAGGCCCAGAAGCAAGGATGGGAAGCAGCCGAGCAGGTAACTAATAGATAAGCCTGCACAGGGTCATGGATTAGACATGGCTCAGTGAGTACCACAGGCTCCAGCTTGTGGTCCAGTCCATCCCTGAATCCAGTTCTCTGCATTTGCCTGTTGGGAGCTGGAGAGAAGCAAGAAACCTTTACAGAGTCACATTTAAGAGGATAGAGTCAGTTGATCACATGTGGATGAAGTACAAGAAATGTACTCTTAAAACTGGCACTTATCTTGACTGCTCCCTTGATGTGCTGAATTGCACCCATTCTTCCCTGCCACCTAAGGTGCCACCTGCAGCTGGATGACATTGCTTTGTCAGGGCCCTAGGAAGGACACTGTCAAGTGTGATCCTACTGCTGGTGAGGAGGAAAGAGTTCAGACCAACTATTCTCAACCCAGTATGTATTTCCAACCAGACTCCTCAAGTATGTCCAATAATTAATTAGAGCTTGCCCAGAAAATTTCCTACAAAATTCTTATTTTATCTGTGCAAAAATATGTTAAGTTTTAAAATGTCCCATTGGGGGTGGGGGGCCAAAATGACCAGAGCCCTCCCTGGATTCCTAGTTCTCAGTTCAGTAGCCTTGGGTTCTTTAGAAAGAGAGAAGGAATGACAGTGGGAACATTGATGTAAGCAGGGCCTTTGCAGTGTGATCAGTCCCAAGATTTGTAACTTCTCTTCATTATTTCTTCCCTCATTGCCATTCATTGTTTTCTAGATACTGTGAAGACTGGAAACAACACTACTGTAGGAAAATCCAAGAGGAAGAGAAGTAAGGAAACAAATGAGAGTTTATGTGCTTTTGGTGTTTCTGATAAGTTATTTACTGCTAGAAATATTATTGTGATTGTGTGTGACAATGGGGTAGACTGTGGTGAAATCCCTGAGTTCCTCCTTGCCCTTGGAACCTGTTAACAGTGAACACCAGAGAGACCCTGTCCCAGACAAAGTGCAAGGCAAGAATTGATATGTGGTGTTGCCTTCTGATCTTCACACACATGCGCTGGCATGTGCATGGCTGCACTCATACACACACATGAACACACACATACACATCCTATATACCAACACATACAGATTAATAAATATAAATGATCCATTACTGTCATCATTAGATTGACTTTCCATTCCCTCAGAGCTATGGTCACATGAATTTGGATAATTCCAGAGAAAACAAAACTATAACAAAAAGATCCTACTGGGCTTCCTTAAAGTTCCCCCCCACCCTACCCTGGCCCTTCCTGTGCTGGATTAAACATGTGATGGGTTTCGTGCTTTAACTTTAGAGAACAGAGATTTTTTTTGGGGGGGGGACAGGGTTTCTCTGTGTAACAGTCCTAGCTGTCCTAGAACTCACAGAGATCCCCCTGCCTCTGCCTCCTGAGTGCTGGGATTAAAGGCATGTGCTACCACCATCCAGAGTGATTTTTTTTAATAGTGTATTTATTTTTATTGTATGTGCATTGGTGTTTTGCCTGCATTTTATGTCTGTGTGAGAGTTTCAGATCTTGGAGTTACAAGCAGTTGTTAGCTGCCATGTGGGTACTGAGAACTGAACCCAGGTCCTTTTGGAAGAGTACTCAGTGCTTTTAACCACCGAGCCATCTCTTCAGCTCCAAGAATGGAGATTTTTTTTAAAAAAAAGATTCTCTACATGGAAGTTGAGAGAGCATTCTTCAACTTCCAGGGTAGCATGGTCTCTGGCTTGAATTTGCACAGTAGATACATGCCCTAACACTTATCATCCAATCAATCTAAGGCATGAGCAGGAATTAGCTTTCCATTCTTCAAAGGTATTCAAAGGAAGGTGCTTTTCAATAGCCTCCCAAGGCTATAGCCCAAGACGCAAGAACAATTGAAATTTAGCTCTGCCACCGACCTCCACGTGACTACACTAGTTGTTAAGAATTTTGCCTCATTTCCAGGATCAGAAGTTTGAAAACAATATCTGAATATGGCTGGCATATGAGGCATAGAGATTTACATTTTATGTCTCTAAATGATTAATTTTATTCTTTTTATTTTGAAGGAAAAAAGAAAGGCCACAACTGGTCAAGAGTAAAATGGAGAAGGCCACAGACTGTACGACCAACAAGTAAGCAAGCAGAGGGGCAGAGTCACAGCTGTTGAGTTTAGGAGGATGTGGCCTGTGAGTTTCTGAGCCATGACTGTGTGTGTGTGTGTGTGTGTGTGTGTGTGTGTGTGTGTGTGTGTGCTGCATTCACACTTGTGCATATGAGTACACATACTTGTACCCACATGTATAGGCCTGAGCAGGATGCTGAATGTGCTCCTCTCTCACCCTCTACTTTATTCCCTTGAGAACTGTCAGTCAGCAAACCCCAGTGAGCTTCTTGTCTCCAGTCCCTTAACACTAGCATTAGAGGTGCACACATATGTATTTTTACATGGATGCTGGTATCTGAACTCAGGTCCTCATGAGTGCACACTAATTGCTCTTAACCACTGAGCAACCTCCACCCTCCCACAAAAGTTTTATAGCTACTATAAGACATGGGTTAAGATGCTGTAACAAGGATCCCGATACTACAATGTCTTTTACAAGTGGTTTGTTTCTCGTACATGTGGTAGTCCAGAGGTGCTGTCATCCTCAGTACAAAATTTTTATTGGTTTGGAAAAATGTTGCAAAGGATGAATGAGGCAAACAGGCTGCATATGTATATGTACACATGTGTGTATGTGCATGTGATAAGAAGATACATATTTGTGAACATATGTACCTATGAAACCATTCATTTTTATTTATAAATTCAGGCTTTTTAATATAACTATTTATTTATCTAGAGAAGAAGATATACTTTGAGATAGAAAAATAATTGACAGTCCATTTTCACAAATGTTCATTGAAGGGCAGGTGAGATGACTTAGTGTTTAGTGTTGGCTATACAAGTCTAAGGACCTGAGTTTGGATCACTAGCACCTGCATAAAAACACTGGGCATGATGTACACATCTGTAATCTCTCACTGATGGGTCCCTCGGGTTTGCTCAGGGACAAGCCTAGACACTGGCCACTTCAGTGAGTTCTGGTTAATGTCAGACCTCATCATCAGTGGAGAGCTACTGAGGGAGACACTTGACTTTGATCTCTGGCCTTCACACCACACACATTCAGGCACATCCACAGATGTACATACAAAGGAACACAACATGTACACACACATGCAAAAATGCATGCATTAGTTATATTTGGCTATTGGGATAGAAGTGATGTCCATATTTTTGTGTTTTTAAAATATTGAACATGCTCAGCTTTGTCATTAGAAGTATTCTTAGAGAGAGAGAGAGAGAGAGAGAGAGAGAGAGAGAGAGAGAGAGAAGAGGGGCGAGAGCAATCAATCTTACAAGATTTTGAAAAGGTTAATCACAAACATATCTACATGGTGACATATCCTACAATCTTATTCCTAAAACTTGTATATATTTACAAATAGCCCCCTGCCATCTGATTTTAGTAATGGTCTAAGGGATTCCTTCTTCCCGGACAAAAGCTAAGTGTCTTTTTCTAAATGATTATCAATTTTGCATCATATCTATGAAGCAGGCTTTGGAATCCCACTCAATATGAATTTCACCAAACTAGGAATCTTACACTCTTGACAATGACCCAGCTGTGCTGTTGACTGATATGTACATTTTTGTTTGGAAAAGTAGAAAAAGTGGTTGCATCCATTTTTTGAATGCATATTTTGAAAACCGCATTATTCAGGCTGAGTTTTTGACAACATTTTCATTCAAGTCTCTTTGTGTGTAGACAGATTTCTTTCCAAAGTGTTAATACAACAGAATCCTCACATGCTTTAAGTCTGACTTCTGCCTGGTCCATCACGGCTCTTCGTCATGAGCTTTCGACCCAGATGTAGAGAAAGTACCCTGATGTAACCGGGATGCCTCCCTTGCTCATTCCTATTGTCAGCTGTACTTTGGCTCAACTCTGCATTTGCCTGTGTCTCTCCTAGATGACAGCAGAGCTGGTGTCCAGACAGCTCTCAGGAGAAAGAAAATGAAAAAGAACCCAGGACCCTCTACCAAGACCAGGGGTCAGATGGCGTCTGTGGGTCTTTCCCTTCACCCCCTGAGTACACACAGATTTTGTTAAGGTTTGGGGGAATCTAAAACCTTAAAAAAAAAAAGTCTACTCTAGCTTACTTGTAAATCTGAGAGCAGCAAAATCTAGAAGCAAGCTGTTTGGAGCAAGGCCGTGACTGTATTTATGTCATCAATCTTATCTGTTCTAATTTTTCCTTTCCCTTTGAGTTGAACCTGATTTTTATGGAATGCTTTTAACTTGACCTTTGGTTATTAAAATGTCTAGATTGAATGACTTACAAGAAGAAAGCAAATCTGCTGTCTCATAGTCCTTTTCCTTCCCCCTTTTGGTGAGTTCTTTCTTGTCGTGAGCAGGCCCTGTAGCCTCCCAGTTCCATTTTTGTGGCAACAGCATTCCACACCAGCAACTGAGTGCCCTTTCTGACCTGAGGTTCAATTTTTGAGACAGTGAGACCCTGTCTGAAAGAGCAAACAGCAAAGGAACAAACCTTCCTGCTCTCTCCCATCTAAAGAACCTCCTTCCTTCAGCTGGGCAAGCCCTAGAACAGGACATGGAAAGCAGGGCTGGTAAATGCCCCCCCATTTTTAGTGTTCCCTGGAGCCCTGCCTCTGTTCAATAGCAGCTGGTGTAAGCCCCTCCGGGTTGGGGAGGTTAAGAGAACACGATGACTGGGGCCGGTGTAGGCATCTTGTTTGATGGGCTTAGCTGTGAAATGATGCTGGAAGTAGAGGATGCTCTCTCTCCCATGAGATGCTCCCATTGCTTCCACAGTAGGAAAGAAGAGGGGCCAAACACCAGGTTGGCCTCATTAAAAGAAATTCAGCTCTTTTTCTGGGGCCTGGTTTAGGGGGTCCATTCTGGCCTAATCCAATCCCACTAATGTGCTCCGTGGTCCCAACGGTGGTTTGGCACGTTGCCTTAGGATGTGTGTCCTTGGACCGTAGGAGACCAACTCAGTCTGGTTGTCTGAACCTTTCCAGGGTTTTTTCCCCCACAGGAAGTATGCCCTTAGTTCTGAGGAGACTGACCCTATTTGGCATCTACTAAATGGACCCAACAATTGGGCCTTCTATTATAATGTTGAATAAACAGTAGGAAATGGACAAAGCTGTCATACTTCTAAAGTTTAAGACTGGCCATAATAATTATTTTAAACTAATTTAAATCATATTTTGACCATGATTGTATTTATGGGTTCTGCTGTTGCAAGGGAGAGATTGAGCAGAGCAGGCAAAGAGAGGAATGATCGCACCCCATTCTGCTAGGTGCCCATCATCTCCTCTCCCTGCTCATCCAGTTGGTGCTCAAATGGGGAGCTAAGAGGACCATCTCTGGCTACCATCTTTAGTAAAACAGAACAGCTAGACATCTCCTGTTTGATGGTCATGTAGCAATCAGTGGTGGTCACTAGAGTGAGAATCAAGACAGTTTTATTGAAGCCAAATTTCTCTGCTAAGCTTTCTTTTTTTATAAATTAGCAATAAAATATTTGTCAGTATGTATCCAACATGCCACTTGTAAGAAAGACTTAGAAGCTAGAGATCTGAGGAGCAAAATGTCCCGAGTGTTAAAAAAATGACCCCAAGAGAGAGGAGGAGGCACGTGCACCTGCAAAGTGAGACAGAAGAGGACATCTTCTTTTTCAGTTCCAAGAAAGCGCAGATATGAGAATGCAGATTTCAGCACTGAGCTGCTTCCTGTGACATGTGGTGACGTGAAGGGAGTGTTAAGCAAGGATAAATTCAAGCAAGGTGAGTTTCATGGTTTTAATTTACAAGTGCTAAATAAAAAACCACAAGCAATAGCAGGATTACTTAAGGAATTGGGGGTTAGCATGGCTTGAAAACAGGAAAGGATCCTAACATGTTATTTTCACACTTGAAGAAACCATACCTAACAGATGGTCACAACAACATAGATGTAGCCATGAGATGCCCAGAGAACAAGCGAGAAGCCCATGAGCTTCCATCCATAGATGGAAACTAATGTATATTTTTCTTCCAGTCAGACATAAATGGAAAGAGACCTTCAGCCTCTGCCTCAACATCCCTGGATGTCAGCACCAGGGCAGGCACTTGCCATGGTGAGACCATCACAGGATTGAGAATCAGAGAACCCAAGTTCCAGACTCAGCTTTGCTGAGTGTGATGGTCTCATTCTGTAGAGGGGAGGGGCTTTCTGAGCATGAAATTTCTCATTTTTAAAGTAGAGGACCATAATATAAAGCCAGCCCCATGATATATCCATGAGGATTAATTTATATTGTTGGTAGAACATATTCTGCAATCATACACCATAAAGGTTTGCAAAACAAAAGTACTATGATGGACTTCATCTCAGATCTCTCTTACTATGAGCTTGTGGATGACAGTTGACAGAAATACATTGTCACTATTTTTAACAGCTTTACTGAGTTATAATTCATATACCATATAATTCAGCACTTAGCGTCTATGATCAATGGGGTGTTTGTCTTTGGTACGTTTGAAAAAATGACCATGGGAATGTATTTGTCCCCCTCTGTATATTGAGTAGTTGACGCTCATTCCCACTTCACTCTACTGAGCATTCAGCCACCCAGTTCCTGTCCTATAAATCTGTCTACTGTGTACATTTCATACAAATGGCATCTTGTAATGTATGTCACTTGTGACTGCCTGCTTTCACTTAGCACAATGATATCAGGCCTCGTCCGTGTAGGTTATGCAATATGTTTTTAACTCACAGATAATTTCATATTCCATTGTATGACTATATCACATTTTGTTTGTTCTTCAGTTTGCACAACTATGCCTTTGGCTATAATGAATAATGCTGTTTTGATAATTTGTGTACACCATTTATGTGATATAAACACTCAGTTTGAGGCACATACACAGAAGTAGAAATGCTGGGTCATATGATGATTATATGTTGAACTCAGTAATGAATCACCAAAATGTTTTTGGTGGTGGCTACACTGTTTTATATTCCACCATCCATACAGGAGACTTCCAAATTCCCTATAATAAATAGCTGCTGTTTCTTCTTGTTTTTTTTATTATGGTCATCTTGGTGGGACGTGAAACTGTGTTGTTGTGATTTTGTTTGCATTTTCATAAACATGAAGATACCAAACATACGACTAGCTTTTTTAAAAAAATCATAATCTGTATTTCCACGGGATAATATTTACTTACGTTTGATGGTACCTGCCTCCAACTGCAGCAATAGACAAGCTTCTGTTCAATAGTCTCATTAAATTGGGTCGACAATGATGTCACAGAACTCTCAAGTTTGCAGAAACCACCTGCAGCTTCAGCTCTAAACTGAGGACTCCACCTCCACCTTGCCTGGGACCTCCTGAGACTCTGGCTGTTCTCCAGCCCGAGAGCTCGACATCAGGTTGAAATCCACTCACCCTGTGGAGTCAGTCACTAGCTTGTCCTTGTCTAATGACCCTGAAGTGGTTTTAAAAGGTGTCTGTTGGTGGTGATTGTCATTTTCTTCAGGCATGAAAATCAAAGAAATATGCATAGCTTCAGAAAACCCTTTAGGGGACTCCAGGGCTGAGCTGGCACTCCTGAAGCCAGAGAGGAGACCAGACTCTTCTGCTATTGACTTTGAGTACGGTTTGGGTGGATCCAGCTCAGTGTGGTGGGAGGCCATGAATCTGAGCTCTAGGGACAAAGCAGGTTCACAGTCAGCCTACTGTGGTCTTACAGGGGTCTCCGTGAAGTCCATACAGAGTGAGGATGGGAACTGGTACACACCCCCTGAGTTTGAAATCCTGGGAGGCCATGAAAAATCAAGGAACTGGCGATTGAGTCTGCGCTGCTACGACAGACCCCTGAAATTGCTGATCGAGGTATTGCAGTGCGGGCGGAGAAGGGTGTCAATGTTTCTTCCTGAACTGTTTACATATCTGATAGGTATGAGGTACAGGGAAGCCCTGATGCCAGTGAGGTTTTCCTGTCACTCAGGAGAGAGGCATTGCTGGGAGGTACACCCTGCTGGTGTTGACAAATGATAGATACAGAACCTCTGAGGAGGGAATGGCCATTCAGGACTGGGGTTCTTGCAGAGACATTTCTGCACTGAAGCCAAAGGAAGAGTTGACAGTCAAACGAGTGAAAGGGAATCTAGAGGAAGGACATGCAAGCAGCTGCACCCAAGACTGTTGTGTGGACAGAGGGGGGTGAGCTGAGTGTATGGCACAAGCCATCAATTCAGGTTGTTTGTGCACGATCTTAACGCCACCCTAATTACCTCAGTTCAAAATGTGGGCAAGGAATCAGTGATGTCCTTGAGGTAAAAATGGCAGTTGAAATATATGCTCATCATCATTGTCACTATTATTTGGTGAGCAGGGATTGAACCCAGGGCTTCAAGTACAGTAAAGAAGACATCAGCTCTTTTCTAATCCCAACCTCTGTTTCCACCTTGCTTGCTCTGTTATTATGATAAACACTATGATCAAAAGCAAAAAGGAAAAGGTTTATTTGGCTCACAGGCTACAGTCCATCATGGAGGGAACCAAGGCAGGGACTCAGGGCAGAAATATGGAGGCAGGAACTGAAACAGAAACCACAGAACAACAGAGCTTACTGGCTTGCTTCTTGGCTCATGTTAAACTGCCTTTCTTATTCAGCCTAGGCCCACCTTAATAGGGATGGCACCACCCACAGTGGACTTTGACTTTCTATATCAATTCACAATCAATAAAATGCCCCCACAAATATGCCTATAGGCTATCTGAAATAGAAAATTCTTCAAATGACTTTTGCTCTTTTTAGTTATATCAAGTTGACAACTAAACTAACCAGGAAACATCTACCATGTTATTGGAAATAGACTACCTTAGACATGATTTCCTCATCTCCATATGCAGCTAGCCAGTGTTTATCTTATAATTCTTAGCTTCATGACTGTCCTGGCCCCTCAGCTCCCAGAGATCCCTCTTAAACTGTTTGAGATTGGTTCCCTGTGCTGGTGGTTGTGGCACATGTCTTTAATCCAAGTAGTCCTGATGCCGAGGTGGGTGGATCTCTGAGTTCGAGGCCAACCTGGTCTACAGTGCAAGTAGGATGGCCAGGGTTACACACACACACACACATACATACATACATACATACATACATACATACATACACACACACACACACACACACGGACGGACGCACGCACGCACGCAAGCACGTGCACACGTACACACACACACAGAGACAGACAGACAGACAGAATATGTTCCTCACATGAGCTTTCTCCTCTATCCCACCAAACCAGGGTTTCTGTCTTTGTGTGCTTCACATTCATCAGAGTATGTGACACCCTAGATGCATGCAGCAAGTGTGGGTTGACTGGCTAGTGCTGGTATGGAAAGTCAAGCTGAATGTGTCAGGTGGGAGCAGAGAACATGTAATGGTTGAATCAGTGGTAATGAGGGAAAATTCTCAGGAAGAGGGATGTCAGGAGGTATTTCCAGCTGCCACAGGCCAGAGTCTCTAAGTTGTAAGTGATGAGAGGGAAATGGGGTCAGACAACTTGGATCTGAATAGTCCATAGAAGATCCAAGAAGAATTTCTGCAAGGAGGTTGGAAACCCCAGACTCACACCACTGAAATACAGACAACTACATACTGGTGTCCTTCTCTCTTGCAGGGAAACTTTCTACCCAATCCTCCACGAATATATGGTAGGAAAAAAAAGGTAAGTTCTCATGTGATTTTACACACAAAGCTTCTTATATTATGATGTCTCAGTTGGGTTGTCATACTTAAAGTACCTCTCACTCCTTCCTCTACTTTAATCTTTTCTTGTTTTCAGCCTGTGTCTTTACTCATGCTACTGTACTGTGTGTAAGGCTGGTCTTCCTTCAGTGTTGACCCCTTTGAGCTGGAGATGATAAAGAGCCACCAACATAGACTTCAATGGTCACATATCACTGGACACTGAGCTTCACGGCTCACTGAGTTTTTGAACTTCAGACCTGTGTATTATTTGTCATTTGCATTATTGCCTGGCTGGTTTGAACTCTGAACCACTGGGATGTTTCATCCACTCAGTTTCCTAGAAGGAAACTACCGTGTAACCTGGTCAATGGATACTTTAAAGCCCATTGCCTCTACCTTCCCCCAAATGCTAAGAGTACCTCTTCCTGGATCACTCAAATGAGCTAGAAATGTCCAGTCCAGGCAACCATCCTTCTTCCTGGGTGCAATGCTCCATAGCAACAAGGGGCACTTCTCTCTCTCTTATTTTGAGTCTCTATTTGCAAGAACAGAGTTCCCAGAGAAAGAGAAGCCAAGATCCATTTCCACTTTCCTAAGTCTCTCAGGGCCTCTTCATCTGTTCAGAGCCATGGATTCTGGGAGCTTCTGTGTCACTTCACATGACAGCTTCCCAGCCCATGCAGGACCATTTAAGCTTTCTGGTGATAACTGTGTGTGTCAGATCCTCTGGTATGGTCACCAGAACCATTAGTTCTGTATTCTGACATCTGCCTTGAGATACCTGGATTCTCTTTTCCCAAGGAAAGCCATATTTACTCATCTGTATATTGCACCATTACCAAGTATCCTCAGAACATCCAAGGACTGTAGAGATGATGGAAACAATAGCCCTGAGGGACCTCAAGGATTGTGTCAAAGTCACTGTTTACATTAAAGAATAACAAATAGTGTGAAGTGGGAGATTCTAGAACAGTGGACAGTGACACTCCCCTCAGGTGATTGTGTACCAGATCATGCTTCTCTCCAGCTCTCGGCCCTGGACTGGGGTTAAGAGCTGAGAATGCCTGGGTCACAGAAGGAAGAGTGACAAGTCATTCCAATGGCTTTGCAAAAGCAATGTGAAGTCCAGTGTTGCTTCTAAATGTGCAGCCAGACAGACTTCTTTTTGAGTTGTGAATAGATGGGTGGGAGGCCATTAAGAGGAAAAGCTGCAGCCCTGGGTGCCTTGGGTTCATTCGATTTTCAGAGCTATGACCGCAGGAGAGCTACAGATGGTGATAGATTTCCTCTGTAGGATCTCCCAGACTCCAGAACTCTGAGCCTTATACATTCTGGTATATGATTGGTACTCCACAGCTTCATTCTCACTTCAGCTACTCTGGGGTGAGGTGTTGGTGTTCGTGGTTGATACATCCTGGGTGGCCAAATTGAGGAAAAATGGTTGACAGCTATTAATGTTTGAGGACTGGTCAAATTGTTCAAACCAGCCTGTAGAAACCAGACCCTGCCTCTTTGTATGACTCCACAAAGGCTTCTTGGGGACCAAGAGCCATGGAGTAGAACTTGCTTTGGGTCAAACAGTAGTTTGACAACATCTCTTTCTCCAGAGAGATGCACAGGTCCATAAAAATAGGTATGGAAAAAAGTAGATATTTTAAGAGAAACCCTCTAGACAGAACAAATAAAACCAATATTTTTAATCAAAGAATTAAGGACTGAGTGCCCTCTGTCAAGTGGTGGTTCCTGGGAACCCTCTACATGTGCATGAGGCCATGGCTTCTAAAGGCTGAAGTGAAAGGGAGATCAAGAAACACATTTGAGTGGTCATGATGGAAAGCCTTAGTGAGAAAGCCCTCACGTGTTAGGTCATGGCCTCTGTGGCTGAAGCACCTCCTCTGACTTTGCTGTTGGCACTAACTTCAATTTGTTAGATGGGGACTCCAAGCACTTGAGTTGTTCGTACCCAGTGCACTCTAAGTAATAATACGAACTTTAGCCGGGGTGATGGCACATGCTTGGAACCTCAGCACATGGAACATAGAAACACGAAGATCAGTAGTTCAGGTCCAGCACTGGCTATATAGTGAGTCTAGGGCCAACTTGGGCTACCTGAGACCCATCTCAAAAATAACAACAGCTGGGAGGTGGTGGTACACGTCTTTAATCCCAGCACTGGGGAGGCAGAGCCAGGTGGATCTCTGTGAGTTCGAGGCCAGCCTAGTCTACAGAACAAGATCCAGGACAGGCACCAAAACTACACAGAAAAATCCTGTCTCGAAAAACAAAACAAAACAAAACAAAAAAACCCAACAATAAAGCTGGTGGTGATAAAACAAATGTAAACAACTATCATTTGGCTACTTAAATGAATGACATATTTAAATCTTACATTTAATATTGTCATTTCAATTTTCCCTTTCTGCAGAGAACACAGAATTTGTACAGTTCTCCAGCTGACCCTTGTGTAAGTACTGACTCATAGTTACAATCCCTAAAGAGCCCCAGTCTTCCCCTTGGTGCATTGCCTGTGTCTTGTTGCCTCTCCCCTGAAAGGACTCACCATTAACTTGGTTGTGCTGCTCTGGGTGATGAGCAAAGATTACCAGATTTGTTCCCAACCCAGGGAGGAGGGGCCAGTCTGGGTGTCTGGGCCAGAAGCACCCTACCATGTGTGTCCCCGTGTGTTCTCATGTCCTCATTCTCCCTAAAGGTGAGGGTGAGACAGAGCTCTAGATGTCTGGGGTCCCTGGGACAGAGCCTGGTGTGGCAGTGGGCATGGCTGGCTGTGGATGAAGGGTGAGGAGCAAATATGAGAGGAGACAGCATCTGTAAAAGGCAGCGTGTGGAAATATAACATCCCAGCATACATCCTAAATGTAGGTAGAGCTCAGGGGGAGACAGCATCTGTAAAAGGCAGTGTGTGGAAATATCACACCCCAGCATGCATCCCAAATGCAGGTCGAGCTCAGGGGGAGACAGCATCTGTAAAAGGCAGTGTGTGGAAATATCACATCCCAGCATGCATCCCAAATGCAGGCAGAGCTCAGGGGGAGCCGGTCAGGCCTCATGTGCAAGTTCTAGGTATGAACCTCTCTTCGTCCTGAAGAAAATTTCCTGCAGAGTGAATGGCTTCTCATGGAAACCCTGGGGTCAGTCTGAAGGGAGCCATCATGGGCCCATTTGGTTAGGACCAAAACCATCACCACGGACCAATTCATAGGGTGTTTTACCTTGGTCAGTTTGGCTGGTTCTCAAGCATAGGCAAACCATCTGTATTAGTCAGGGTTCTCTAGAGTCACAGAACGTATAGATGGAATCTCTCTCTCTCTCTCTCTCTCTCTCTCTATATATATATATATATATATATATATATATTTATATATGAATAAATTTCATATATATTGAATAATATATAAATTATTAAATAATATATAAATTATTAAATATATATGAATATATATATTTATTAAATATATATTAAATTTATTAGAATGACAAATGGGCTGCAATCCAGTGAATCCAACCAAGGCTTGCTGTGAATGGAAAGTCCAAGAATCTCGTAGTTAGTTGCTCAGTCCCATGAGGCTGGGTGTCTCAGCTGGTCTTCTGTATGTGCTGGAATCCTGAAGAAGTAGGCTCCAATGCCAGTGAAGGAATGGATGTGCTGGCAAGGCTAGGGCAAGCAGGAAAAGAAGAACAAACCCTTCCTTCTTCCACTGTCCTTATGTAGGCTTCCAGCAGAAGGTGTGGCCCAGATTAAAGGTGTGTCTTCCCGCCTCAAGATCTGGATTAAAGGTGTGTGTCATTCCACCTCAAGATCTGGATCAAAGGCATGCTGTCTTCCTGCCACAATGCACACAAATGGTGTGCCCAACATTTCTGGATTATAGTTCATTCCAGATATAGTCAAGTTGACAACCAAGAATAGCCATCACAATCTACCCCTTGTCAACTGGACACATAATCATATCTCCTTATGTCATGATTAATTTCCAAATAAAAACAATAAACAAGTTATAATAATACCTAAACATAATATAACTATGCCATATACAATCACAAACACATTATATATTTAACCAGGTCATAATTACACCTAAAGTGATATAACTATCTCTCATACAACCACAAATGAATTTTAAATTTAGAACAGATGGCAATGTCCCTTGGGAGACATCTTATTATTATTCTCTTAATTGTTATTACAACATTTGATAAGGAAATTGAGAGAAAACACAAATGTCTGTACAAATACATTCTTAGCAAAATACAACAGAAGCACTCATATCAGTTATAATCCTCATTTCTGCAAGTGGTCATGTTGCCTTAGATGGTCTTTATAACTACCTTCCTCTACTACCATTCTGTATTTCCTCCACCCTAGGCAAGCCCCTCAACAGATCTTAGCTCTTTTCCTAGAAAAGTGACCCACACCTTCATTCCTGATGGGTCTGTGCCCTTTGTCATCCTGCCTGGATCAGGCTGTTGTAGCTTCCCATTGACTTTAATCACAGGACACAGTAGCACCAAGAGACACCCTAAAGGTCTCTTGCATTCCAGACATAATCTTTCTTACTTCCATTGTGGAGTGACAATCCAATCTTCCCATGGTAATCTGGATGATTCACCCTAATGCTCTTACTCCTTTCTTAGCCTATTGGTTTAAGGGCATCAGAAGCCCAAAAGGACCAGGGGGAAGTCTTAGCTTCCAGTTCAATGGAATGTTTGTTGTGGCTCCTGGCAGGAGCACTCCCCCCTCCTCTGGAACCAAATCTTCTAGGCTAGCAGAACTTAGGGATGTGGAAACAGGTAGCAAAACCTTTCCTAGTGGGTCACTAGGGGTGATAGTGAGTGCAACTGTTTCCTTTCCCACCCCTTGATTCCTGGACCCATGGATCCTGGCTATGGGAGAAACAGTACCATATATTGGATGCTGATTCAAACATACACCAGCCCTCCAGACTGCTGCCACCTAATTGGCACTGTAACTGTGTTTTTGAAAGGCCATTCCATCTTTCTATCTTCAGGATGGTGGGGAACATGGTAAGACCAGTGGATTCCATGATCATGGGCCCATTGTCACACTTCTCTGGCTGTGAAATGAGTTACCTGCTCAGAAGAAATACCATGTGTGGAATACCATGTTAGTGGATCAGGTACTCTGTAAGCATGGATGGTGGTTTTGGGAGAAGCATTAACCACAATAAGTATCTATTCCAGTAAGGACAAAGCATTGTCCCTTCCATGGAGGAAATGGTCCAATGTAGTCAACCTGCCACCAGGTTGCTGGCTGGTCACCCCAGGGAATAATGCCATATCTGGGGCTCAGTGTTGGTCTCTGCTATTGACAGATATGGCACTCAGCAGCAACTGTAGCCAGTCAGACTTGGTGAGCAGAAGTCCATGTTGCTCAGCACATACATAACCCCCATCTCAGCCACCATGGCCTCTTTGTTTATGTGCCCATTGGGCAGTGACAGGAATGTGTGGGGAAAGAGGCTGACTGTCCACCAAGCAAGTCATCCTATCTACTAGATTACTGAACTCCTCCTCAGCTGAAGTCACCTTTTGATTAGCATTTACATAAGACACAAGTATCTTTCCTTTGCCCATTTGGAGAAATCTAGCCACATACTTCTTCCCCAGATGTCTTTCTCACCAGTTTTCCAATCATGCTCTTTTCAAGTCCCTGACCATCCATCCAGTCCATTGGCTACAGCCCATGAATCAGTGAACAATCACACATCTGACCATTTCTCCTTCCAAACAAACTGTAATATCATGTGTACTGCTTGGAGTTCTGCCCACTATGAAGATTTTCTTTTACCAGTCTCTTTCAAGGTTGTCCCAGAAAGGGGTTGTAATACTGCAGCTGTGTACTTTTGGGTGGTGCCTGCATAACATGCAGAACCATCAGTAAATCAGCCCTAATCTTCTCTTTCTCAGTCAACCGACCATAGATCAGCCCTAATCTTCTCTTTCTAAGTCAACCGACCATAGAGAACTCCCCACAAGGCGCATGCTTGGCAGTAGACAGCATTGTAACAGGAGTAGAAACTGTAGCCATTTTGGACAACTTTTTATGTAACTTGCTTGTGCCTTTAGGACCTGCTCAGGACCAATCATGTATATACCACTTCCATGTGATAATAGATTGCTCCTTTGCACATCTTACTTTATGACTTGATGGTCCAATAACACTCAGTTCAGGTCACATGGTAACTTGGTGGCCCACTGTCAAATGTTCAGTTTCCATAAAGGCCCAATAGCAAGCCAAAAGCTTTCTTTCAAAGGAAGAATAGTTGTCTGCAGATGACAGTAGAGCCTTACTCCAAAATCCCAAGGGTCTCTTCTGTGATTCACCTATAGAGATCTAACAAAGGCTCCAAATAGCATCCCTATCTGTCACTGACACCTAGTAGATAGGTCTGCTGGATCATGTGGTCCAAGTGGTAGAGCAGCCTGCAGAGCAGCCTGGACCTGTTGAAGAGCCTCCTCCTGTCCCAGGCCCCACACAAAGCTAGCAGCTTTCCAAGTCACTTGGTATATGGACCAGAGTAACACCGAAGTGAGGAATGCGCTGTCTCCAGAATCCAAATAGACCTACTAAATGTTGTGTTTCTTTCTTGGTGGTGGGAGGGGCCAGGTGCATTAACTTAGCCTTCACTTTAGAAGGAGTATCTCTGCATGCCCCACACCACTAGATTCCTAAGAATTTCACCAAGGTGGACAGACGGTCCTTGAATTTTGGCTGGATTTATTTCTCATCCTCTGACACGCATATGATACCAATGAGTTCAAAGAGGTTGTTACCTCCTGTTCACTTGGTCTAATCATCATAATGCTGTCAATATAATGCACCAGTGTAATATTTTGTGGAAGAGACAGATGATCAAGATTCCTTCTAACTAAGTTATGACACAGGATAGGAGAGTTAATATACCCCTGAGGCAAAACAGTAAAGATATACTGCTGGCCTTGCCAATTGAAAGCAAATTACTTCTGGTGGTCCTTATGGACAGGTACAGAGAAAAAGGCATTTGCTAAATCAGTAGGTGCATACTATGTACCACTACATCTGGCACAGCAGCTGCAATGCAGAGTCACTACTTGATTGAGTTTTCGTTAGTCAGCTGTCATTCTCCATGATCCATCTGTCTTCTGCACTGGCCAGATAAGAGCGTTAAATGGAGATATGGAATGGGAACCACCACCTCTGTGTCTTTCAAGTCCTTGGTGGTAGCTCTAATTCCTGCAATTCCTCCAGGGATGTGATAATGTTTTTGATTCACTGTTTTCCCTGGCAGAGGCAACTCTAAAGGCTTCCATTTAGCCTTCCCAACCATAATAGCCCTCACTCCATAGAGGGAACCAATGTGAGAACCCTGTCAACTTCTAAGTATATCTATCCCAATTATACATTGTGGAACTTGAGAAATAACCACCGGATGAGTTCGGGGACCC